TATATTTCACATGCCCCACATTTATTCCTGTTTTTATTTATTCACATGTCTAGTATAATTATTGTTGCGCACCACGTGTCCGTCTTCATTTTAATGGAAACAAAGAGAGATAACTCAAACCATCTTGATTAAGTTGACAAAATTACATGGGACACGGATTACAGTGTACTAAATAGTGTTGTCAAATCGGTTGAAACTCAGAATCGATTAATCGGTAACATCGGTTGACCCTAACTGACTAATCATCGGCCAATAATCGAATCGGTAACCCTTTGCATAAAATAGGCATTAGATTTTATAAAAATTAGAATTTTATTGTTAAATAATCTAAGTAAAGGTGCATATTGTACAGATCGAAATTCTAAAAACAGTATATATGCAGTTTGATTAACTATTTCAGTAATACAGATTTTTGCATGATTAGGAATTACTTGGCCTGGGAAAAGTAAGCATTGACGGATCAGGTTTTAATTTACATGATCATCTAAAATGTATATGGAATTAATTTTTTAAACAGTTATAAGACATTTAATTTTGCAAATTCCTTGTGATTCCGTATGAAATGACAGGTGAATTCCCCCAAATACTGAAAATTAATACATGTATATTTTATTTAAACAAATAGTTTAGTTTCTTCAGTTTAGAAATACAAATATCATTATCTTTTGATTTATTTTAAACAGATTTTAAGTACAGTGTATTCTAAAATAGTAAAGGACAACTCTTGAAAGATATATATTTTGATAACAAGAGCCTGTTCTTGAAATAAAAGTGAGAAAACTGTAAAAAAGATATGTGCTGAAATAAACCATTAATCGATTGTTAAAATCTCCAATCGATTGTCTAAAATCGACAGCCTTTCCGACCGATAATCGATTATAAATCGATCATCGTGACAACACTAGTACTAAAACTGTAAAATGTCGAAGTTTTTATTGGAAGCAAATTAAAAAGAAGAAAGGGTTCAATTCTTGAAAAACAGATATAATTTGAAGAGTTCAGTCTGCAATAATTAAGCCATTATCGGATATATGCGTCCCGTAAGAGTAACCAGGTAATTGACGATGTTTGTATACTTTCTGCATTGAGATTTACTTGTTTGATCCTACTTGATGATCAATTAAAAAGTCCCAAAAAAATACCACCAGTTTTCAGTACTAATTCTATACCCTCCAGGTGTTTATTTAACTAAATGGCAGTAATAATATTGAAATACTCTCATACATGTACATGTAATACGATGTTGAAAATTTAGACGTGCGTTTTTTACTTCTATGAAATTTTACGCGTTTAAATTTTATGAATTTATAAAACTCGTAAAAATTAGTAAAAATTAGCAGCACATAAAAAATACCCGTTATACGGTATATTGATTCAGTATCATAGTCTTAGAGCTATACAGGATCACCTGCACTGTGTAATGCATTGCACCATATTGACTGCTCATAAAATAAATAATAAATTTTAAATGCCTTAATGCAGTTTGAAAGATTTATAATACATAGTAAAATCTAATACTGGACCCCCACCTGATACTCTCACAGTATAAGTCTGTGTTCTACTGGTTTGTCCATTTAAGCCATTCAGAATGTCTGCCTGGAACTGTTTTCCATCGTCACTAGTTTTGGTGTCCAATAGCACTAGGTCCTTAGAGAGGGTCACTTGGTGATGTGGACCTTCATCGGCCATGATCTGTGAATTAAGCTTCCATTCCACAGTGGGTGGATAGGGGTAGGATTTAAAAGGGGGCAAGGATATTTTGATCCCATGATCTCTCTGAACATTAACATCTTCATCTTGCATGGTTGGGAGTGGATCCAAATCTGAGAAAAACGTCAAGGGGATAATGCTCAAAATTTATCAACCTTAGATTCATATAATTTACAGACTGTTGACATGTACTGCACTGTGCTTGTAGCACTTGGTAAACACTTTCAATAGTCTAGATATAAAAAGTTCTCTAAAATAGTGCAAGAGCTTTCTGGTTTTGTGCTATTGTGTAGAGATCTGTATTGTAATGAGGTTGCAAGACTTATTGAAAAATGTTGATGACTGAAGTGCATATGAAGAAAAATAATGGATGACAGACTGTTTTTAAATGACATGAAAACCTCATGCTGTCAATAACAATAGGTAACAATTTGATAGACTGCTGAAAACCAATAAATGGATCTTTACCCTTTACTTCATATAAAGGTTTATTGATTTCAAATTCATAAGAACAGTCAATCTTTAATTACCCGGGTATAATAGAAAAGTTACAGAGAATGTGTAAACAAAATGCTTTAATGCAAACATCTCTAGTTCAGACAGGTTATCAAGGACATTCTACTTTATTTCCAATAAATATTTGGAACATTTCTTGTTGATTACTCATTAATTAAGTCCACTAATGATAATGAACTACATACATGCCACTTCCACTCTGCAACTGTCACTGAGGATGGAACCCAACTTATTGGTGGCTTGACATCTGTAGATTCCTGCTGCTGTCCGATTTATACTGTACATTCTGAAGGTCCCACTAAGGCTTGCCTGGCTGACATAGGTTCCCTCCCTTAGCCAGCGATACTCTGGGGGTGGGTCACTGTATGATTGACAGGTCAAAATCTTGACTCCCGACTCACTCACTGCTGAGCCACATTCAGGTTCTCTTGAGAAGTACATAGGTGGTTCCTCTGCAATTAAGACAATTGATTAGTACATGAGAAAAAACTTCACATCACATATTAAGACAATTGATTAGTACATGAGAAAAAACTTCACATCACATATTGGTATCATTCAATCCTTAGTAGTAGAGTTGATTCAAATATACATGAATAAATTCAAATCAGATTGGGACAAAATTAAGTCAAAATTATGACCTCAAAAAATTTTTTGTCTTTGACGAAAATTTTCATCATTGTTCTTTTTTTTGTAAATTAAAACACACTGATATGAAAACGTAATTAAACATTATAAGCTAATGTAATATACATGTATAACAATGCTAGTTTAACAGCATGGGTACATGAGTTTCAAAACTACATTGAACAAGAGGCCCAGGAGCCACATCGCTCACCTGAGCTACCTAAGATGATTCCCTATAAATATCACTAAGCAAGGCTTTAAAATACTTGAAAAGAAGATTTTAAAAGGTTTCCCTAGATATTCCTACGTAAAACTTTGATCGGCCATTTTGGCCCCACCCTACCCCCGGGGGTCATGATTTGAACAAACTTCAATCTACTTTACCTGAGGATGATTCCACATGAGTTTCATCTTTCCTGGCCCAGTGGTTCTTGAGAAGATTTTTCCTATATATTCCTATGTAAAACTTTGATCGGCCATTTTGGCCCCACCCTACCCCCAGGGGTCATGATTTGAACAAACTTTAATCTACACTACCTGAGGATGATTCCACATGAGTTTCATCTTTCCTGGCCCAGTGGTTCTTGAGAAGAAGATTTTTAAAGATTTTTCCTATATATTCCTATGTAAAACTTTGATCAGCCATTTTGGCCCTACCCTACACCGGGGGGTCATGATTTGAACAAACTTGAATTCACATTACCTGAGGATGCTTCCACACAAGTTTCACACATCTTTCTTGGCCCAGTGGTTCTTGAGAAGAAGATTTTTTAAAAATGCTATTAATTTTTCACTAATTCATAATTATCTCCCCTTGGAAGAGGACATGGCCCCTCATTTGAACAAACTTAAATCCCCTTCACCCAAGGAAATTTGTGCCAAGTTTGGTTGAAATTGGCCCAGTGGTTCTAGAGAAGAAGATGAAAATGTGAAAAGTTTACGCAACAACAACGACGACAGACAACGGACAAATTTTGATCAGAAAAGCTCACTTGAGCCTTCGGCTCAGGTGAGCTAAAAACAATTAAGGTGCACACATGATTGTAAAAATGCAGACACTTTTCTACATGCCTGCATTTCTGTTTTGAGTTCTTTTTCATAGCTAGATCATACAGACTCAGCAATATCCATTCCAGATGATATAATGTAGGTTAAACATTGACTTTTATGAAGTTTCCTTTCGATAATCAAAACAAAGACCTTATTTCTACTTTAAAGGAACTTTAAATGCAGTTACTGAAACATGTATTCCCGTTCATTTTAGTCCCCAGTCAGGTTACCTGTTAACCTGCTGAGATAAATGTGTCTCAAGGCCAAGATTTTTATGTTCACATGAACACGTTAACTCACTTCCTTTAACATAACAACCATATCGCAAGCCGTATAACCAGCTAGAAGGATACTTAAATACATCAAGATACTAATCAAACAGTACAATACTAAGCCAATTCCAAATATTACATTGAAACTTGGGACCCCTTTATTTGAGGGTACCACACAAGACTTAATTAAGAACAAGTCTCTTTGTGAGGTTTATAATCCTCAAAGTAAATGTTTTGTTGATTTCTGCACATAAACTTTCTTACACACGCTTAAAGATTATAAACTTAAAAGTGTTAAAAGATTACAGAATTCACTTTCATTCACCGATCAGAATGATTCTTGAGTAATTATGAAATGTATCCTGGCTTTTCCTTTTATTCAAGTACATTTAAAAGGTAATAGCATATTAAGTGCAATGCTTCCCAGATCATTAAGATTATAACATTTCTGTTTATTAGTTGCCAGTTTTCCAATGTATCTTAATTCATAATTAATTTATTTATCATTTTTGAACAAAAAATGTAGGTTTTTCATGCATTAGACATTTTGAAACAATACAATAATGGGCAGTTATATTAAACAAATTGAGTTTCAGAATAATGTATGGAAAAAAAAAATCATTAAGGTAGGTAACACCCTAATTTCTATTTTTATTTCTTTCCAGTTAAGTTTGCTTATCAATAGAATACAATAGAGAGGTAAACAATTTTATAAATTTGAAAACAAAACCGCAGGCTCTAGAGTATCAAGTTTACAAGATAAAACCTCTCTTCTCTCACAGAAACATTCCCGTCTTTATGGAATGTGGCCTGCCTTAACACTTCAGGTTATTTTTTTTCTTTTGTTCATTTTCAAAGCCAAGACTTGCTCTTATTTAGGAGCCCACATAATAAAGCCCACTTGAAAATGATGAACAGTTATAAAATATACACCTGAAGCCTCTAGACATGCAAATGTGATCCAGTTCATAAAAGCATGTCAACACCAATATACATATTCCACATATAATACATGTATAAAGGTTGAGACATGGTCCTTGTAATATTAACATTTTGTAATATATTCAAGTTCTCCATGTATTGACATTATTCCAGTACTGAATATCATATTGAATATATATGCACATTATAAAAACAAGCAATACATGTAGGATTATTTATTTATCAAATACGAAAATGATTTCACTCAATATAATAGTGGGAAAGAAATATCATATGTTTTTCTTTTTTTTTAAATTATTTAATCTATTAAAATATGCTATATTTACTGTATTTTTTCTCTAAAACACTTAAATAGATGCCACTGTATCATGATAAGAATGGCATGAAAGGGTATCTAAAATACTAAATCATACAATCATATATATACTATCATATCAAGCTGTCAACCAAGATCTATCTGGGTATTCTTAAATATCAATTGTTTATGCTCATCTGGTAGATTTTTATTATCTACTGTCAACATCACAGTTGTTCAATACAACATATCTGTATGTAACTTAATAATTGATTATATATATGCTTCGGAGGGATTTTTAAAAAAAAAAATATTTAAATGGTGCATTTAAAAATGAAAATTATTCAGGTAAATTAGCTGCTCCAGAAATTTTTCTCCACATGCATTTGCCTCAATAAGATGTTACAATGCTCATGTACTAATAGGTTTTTGTGTCTGTCAAGATCTACACTACCAATGTTCTCTACTTTATAAATTTTCTCCAATATTGTTCACAACTTTACAAGTACCTTTCATTTTATACCTGAATTCTTACAAAACTTGCATGAAAAAGAATCAATGTTTTTAAAAAATTATAGAATAAACTGCTGAAATATTTTTAAGTATGTATTCAGCATGACTATGACAAAACATCAAAGTTGAGAGTATTTGTTATTGAACTATGTGAAGCATGCAACTGATAACCCATCTATTTACTTTAAAGTTTATTTTGGATTTCAGTGAAACCAAATTATCCAATTTCATCTAAATCAAGATTAATTTAAGAGTTTGCTCTTCTAAAACTGACCTGCTCAAAATGCCACTGCAATCTAATGTAGAATGTTTACACTGATCAAACTGTAACTTGAATTCCAAAATAATCTGATTGGGCAGAATTACTTTCTGGTAAGGCTATTACTTAAATTTACTTCACAAGATGCTCTAATTGAATTTGTTCCATTCAATACAGGTATCAACAACTAAATACTTAATATAGAAATGTCATGAATGATGTGTAGGAAACTAGCTGCTGACTAAAAAAAAAAAAAAAAACACGCAGGAAATTGATGAAGGAAAAAAGTTCATAAAATTATGATTATTATTATTCTTGGGGGTGGGGGTGGGGGGTTGTGTTGAGGGAGGGAGGAGAAGGCAGAGCATCTACAGATCCAGATCATCATCATGCACCTGTGTATTTATCTATCCCATCTCATTTGAAGATTTTTCTTCTTACATACACAGAGTTTATAATTATTAAAGATGTTTATTGTAAAACAACTTTAAGTACATTCCTTTGCTTAATATTTTTAGGTTGAAAAGGAATTAATTAGTCAAGTAGTTACCCCGGTAAATCATAATGGACTGTTCTGTATAATTATCTAACCTCTCCCGGTAAGGAAACTGACTTTGACCATGTAAACTAAAGGAAAACTTAATAAATATAGTCACGGTAATTGTGTTAATTACATATGTTACATGTACCAGTACCACATGTGTCCTTGGCATTCATTTCAATACTAGCTAGCTAAAATGTTACTAAGTTAACCTAAGAGTATCGGAAATAATTTTTATTACATGCTTCAAACCCAGGGCATCTTGTACGACAAAAATAAATAATAGATGCATGAGGAGCAAATTGATTTATTTTAATTACTTCTTTACTATTTAACTATTGAATTAGAAAGACAAATGGACAAGGTGGGATGAATTATATAGGTGCTCCCTATGTATAATTCTGTAAATGACAATTGTTTTATATAGGTATATATATATATACGTCTACCTATCTATATCATAAGGCTGATTTTATAATAAAGATGGGTAGATATATAATATATATATACCTATATAAAACAATATATTATACTTATCATTCATCATTTACAGAATTACAAGGGGAGCACCTATGCAGTATGGTATGAACAACAGCTGAGGATCAATTAAACCAGGATCTGAACCTAATATGTCAACTGGTCAAACTTTCTTTTTGAAACCATCATAATACTAAGAGTTTGAAACCTTTATCAAAAAATCCTGAGACGTCATGGTAGGCCTAATGGGTGCACATTTGCTGAAATTCTACAACAATGCCACAGATATTGTAATAACCAAAGTAACATTGACTGCTCACACATGCCGTCATTTAATTTGAAATATGATGGGGTATGAAACTTGGCAGACAGACGTTTTGGGATTTGATCTGAAGGCATTTTAACACCTGTTTTCAAAAATGCATGCTAGAAATGTGAATGTGATCCATTTGGAAAGAATTATGTAATCCAATTTGAAACTCATCAAATTATGGATATTAGGAAGAGATCCTCTGTTTAAATATTATCTTTGATCAAATATAAAGTTGCACCACTAATTAATTATCCAGTCAGTTGATACCTACCACTCTTTATACAGCGTAAAAGCGAAGCTCCGAACACAAAAACGTGCAGGTACCACAAACATTTACACATCATTATTCTCGTAAATGACCGTCCATTCTTAAAAATTCTCAATCAAATATAAAACTGTTTTAAGTGAAGTCTGTATAAATGGTCCTCTGGTCAAAAATCACCAAGAATCGTTGTTACACCGGTGGGAATGTGTGTAATCGGAAGTTCGCGTCGGCCATATTGATGCGACAAATGACAATGTTGCTACCTTTTCACTTTTTCAAAGACATATTCCAATGACGAAGGTAAATCAATCCAAAAAATGAAAATCACTGCTTAAAATACCAGAAATATGTGTATCTCACCAATTAATAAAGTTATAACGCGTTGTTTGATACAGGTAAATATTGATTTTTCTAAAGGTAAATTTTCGTACTATTGTACTAATTGTCTGTACACGTGATCAAAACAAACCTAGCGATTGGTCAATAGAAAAGAAAGTGAGGAGTGCTTGATGGGGTCAAATGGTGACTCATGTCACATTGGACACTTGCACAATATGGAATTTGCGTGGTCTGCGTACATTTCACCGTATTAAAAAGGCCCAAACAATTATTTTTCTTATTTCTATGCCATGAGCAACATTATTTATTTCTTTTATCAAGACGACCACTTGCGACACAATATATATAAACACAGAGATATATATTTGTTAATTTTTTAATAAAAGTTTTCCATACTATCATATGCTAGTACTTGTTTTTACCCCCCCCCCCCCAGGAAAAGACATATGCAAAGTTGTCAAACAATAAAAAGGCAGAGTCAGAAAGTATTTATTTATTCGATCGAACAACTAATGGTAGTACACGATATAGATAGACCATTTGCCCCTTAAATTCTGAAACTTCAAAACAACCGCAAAAGATTGATACGTGCTCCTATCTGAAAAGTATTTCAATATTCTAATTTTTGGGAATTGTTTTTTATTTCCAGTATTAGTATTTATAACCCCCCCCCCCCCAATAAAATAAAAGACATAATATTATATGTAAAATTATCAAACAATAAAAGGGCAGAGTCAGAAAGTATATTGTATACACGATAGATAGACCATTTTTTCCCCCCTTAAATTCTGAAACTTTCAAACAACTGCAAAATATTGACACGTGCTCCTATCTGAAAAATATTTCAAGTTTGAAATATGTCCTACTGGACCCTTGTAAGAAAATTGTGAGATCACATATTATTGCACTCTTTAGATTAGAATATGCATTTAATCAAAAATAGCGACCAAACTATTGCACACTTTTGTGATTTTTTTTAAAATACAGTCTTTTTATTATTAACTCATATACATTTTAAAGTTTTCTTAATTGAAAGAAAATATGTAATTCAATTTTTAGAAAATCAATATAATGGTTGAAATACAACTCAGATTAAACGAGGAACATTGAACCGAAAGTTTCAAATATTTTGGAAAAAAATATTCAATGCAATAGAAGATGCAGTCTGAAATGTAGGTTCTCGAATTACAAATATGAAGGTTCGAATACTCTATTGGGGGGGGGGGGGGGGTAATGTAGTGTAAAACGCTAAATGTTATTGTTAATTTCCTTGAAAAGAATATTGGTTATCTATACAGAAAATTGATCATTAACAATAAAGTTTTAAGCAAGTCTGTAGGAAAGATTGGGGGGGGGGGGGGGGTTCTTCACAATCCCATCGCCCTTTAAAGGGTTTACTACAATTAAGGGGGGATGGTTCTCTCGCCTATTATCATTATTATTTTTTTTTTTTTTACAGAATGACGTATTTTAATATAATGTCACATAATAATAAAAACGTGTTTGTTTTGATAATTATAATAGGCCTATATCAATATCTCACTGATAATTTTTATTCTTGCTTTATATACTCATCAGAGATGTTTTATTGTAAAAAAAAAAAATCAGTTGACCTGTGGTTTAATTAAAATATATGATATGTATGCGTTTTTTTCGAAACATAAAATAAGCTTCAAAATTTTAAATTCTTCTATTAACATCATTAGTGCTGCAGTTCGATTGCATTCATGAATGTTTTCCTTTTTAAAATACTTAATTTCTTGGAGGGGTAGGGGGCCTATTTCACAATATTAATAAATTCAGTTGATTTTTTTTTTAAAATCCCATTTAATCATATCCCCATCAATTTTTAGAAGTTGTAATTAGCTCGGGCTCGAGATGCTGATTTATAGAAGTTTCACAACGAAGTGAAAGTAGGACATGTGTCTATAGGACAAACACCACCAAATGTTTTCCCATAGACTTCCATACAAACTTTAGCACCTCTCACTGATACATATATTGAATTTCGGGAAAATGGTCTTTTTGTCGTGAAAGTTCGAGATATTGGAAAACAAAAAATGCCAGAAAAAATATACCGTGCCGTTGCACTTTTACTTTCAATTTCCATTTGTTTACAACTAGGTGCGTTTGACACCAAATGAAAATCTCTAACCAAAGTGCATCCCTCCCTTCAAATTTTTACCTGTAACTCCTATATACCTCAAAGAAACCCAAGTCTTGATATGAGATTTTTATCGACTTTATTTCACTTGTCAAATACATAACAAGTCTTTTCTCTTATTGACCAATCACGCGCCAGCTAGCATTTTCTCCTCCGCACAACCTTAGGTTGTGCGGAGGAGAAAATGCTAGCTGGCGCGTGATTGGTCAATAAGAGAAAAGACTTGTTATGTATCAATCGGCAATCCTCGGCTGACTCCGCTACGCTCCATTCAAACCTCGGATGTGATTGGTGGAGGAATACGCATCAGATCCTTACATTTCTCCGCCGGAAACTGCCTTATCACTCATTTCATATTTCGCTCTGCATAACGTTCTTTGAAAATGTTTCTTAATTTGTGGAATTATTAATCGTAAACAGGTTTTGATTACAAACTCATGTAAGTAGGCTTTAAAAGCAATTAAAAAATGTTGAGCGTGCCATAAAATAACGCCGATTTCAAATGTATGACATTTGAAAGAAATTCAAATAAGATCACATGACTGAATCAGCAAGATGGTAACTCACCGTTGACGTCCGAGGTTATGTGCGAGGTACGAGTCATCCGAGGAACTCCGATTGGTTATGTATTTGACAAGTGAAATAAAGTCGATAAAAATCTCATATCAAGACTTGGGTTTCTTTGAGGTATATAGGAGTTACAGGTAAAAATTTGAAGGGAGGGATGCACTTTGGTTAGAGATTTTCATTTGGTGTCAAAAAAAAACGCACCTAGTTGTAAACAAATGGAAATTGAAAGTAAAAGTGCAACGGCACGGTATATTTTTTCTGGCATTTTTTGTTTTCCAATATCTCGAACTTTCACGACAAAAAGACCATTTTCCCGAAATTCAATATAGGTATCAGTGAGAGGTGCTAAAGTTTGTATGGAAGTCTATGGGAAAACATTTGGTGGTGTTTGTCCTATAGAAAAGGTATGATTTCATGGTTAAAAATTGATTACAGCCAAAAAATCAATCAGTTCCTATTTTTTCAGCATTGGGATTATATTTTAGTTAGTTTTGACTATTTGTTTAAAAATTAGAGGGTCTGGGTAAATTGGGGCTCACAATGGGGACTGCACATAGTGAAAAAATGCCAAACTTTTTGCCCTAGCTCTCATATTTTCAATAAATGTACATGTAAATAATTTTCAATAAATATTTATACCGAAATTTACTGTGAATAATGTAAATAATACAATATCAATATTTATGGGCATCATCAATATACAAAACATATGAATATCCCCCTCGCAGTTTGAGAAATTCATTTAAATCCATGTATTTTATGAGTGTAGACATTGGAACAGATTGAATAATCCTCTTTCAAATTTGTGTTAATCAGAGTTGATTGAATAATTTATAACAAAATTTGACTGCTGTTAGCTAATTAGGGTACTTTGTTTTTACATAAGGGGCATAATCCAGCAGAAAAGCCAGTTTCAGTCATGTAATCAGTGCTGGCTTGAAATAAGAGTTATACTATTGGTGAAACTTAGAGATTACTAGTAGGAAATTTAATTTAAATTACAGTACAATATATTCTTGCTGAAAATACATTGAAAATGCAATAAATATGCAAAATTATAACTGAAAAAATTATGAAAAAGGTGTCTGAATATCCCTCCTCCTTGCCATATCCAATCTTGATATTCTGCTGAAAGGGGGGGGGGTAATTTTGTGCTTTAATCATGCTGAAAAATGAAGGAATTTTGTTTAAATTTGGTTTATTTGAATAACAAGAGTCATGCTTATCTGCAGTAATTTTTTTCAATTTCTTTGGTATTTTTAAAAATAATTATCTGAGTAAATTCTATTTAACATGATTTTTTTTAAAGGTATTACATCACAAATGCTTAAAAGAAATTCAAAAGATGGTGTAAATAATAAAAAATTAAGATATAAGCTGCTATATGCATTTATCAGTATGTTTTAATAAAATAAAATGTATTTTAGCAATGCATAATCAAGAAGGAAGAGATTAATGAACCCTACCCTCTTACAATGAACAAAACATGGACACTCTCGGGATGATCCTTTTGCTTTCATTAAGAGTTTCAAGGTATGGTTTTCTTAGAAAATCTAGTTAATCTCTTAATATTTAAGTTATTAAGAACTTTTTATAGATTATTAGAAAATAAATTTCCTCAGAACTGCAGTTATTTAAGCACTTTGCTTACAATTGAGCACTGTATTCAGTCAGACAATATGATTTATCTGCCCTTGGCATTTAATCAATTTATTAATTATGTCATTGATAAGAAATAATATGCTAATAAATATATTTGCCTTTTATGAGAATATACATATTTAACATCAATTACATGAAATGATCATGAAAATTGGCTAAAATGTAGGTCACCCCCCTTCAAAATTACAAAATTTTCAATGGGGATGTGTTTGATTCTCTGATGCCAGCAACCCACTGCTGATAGATTTTTTTTAAATCTTATGTACATTTGAACTAGATATAATTCTCTTTTTTTCCACTGATTATTTTATCTACATTAGTTTTCACTCTTTCCATAACCCAGCTTTTTCTTACAAAAACCTGCTGATTTTCTTCATTTTTCATTAATAACGGGTACCTGCTACCCTGAATGATTAACATGATCTACCTTCAGAAATTATTAGAGATAATAAGAAAAACAAGCAAAACATAAGCGAAATTAATCATTTTATTTTAAAAGTTTGAAAGAAAAATAGAGAAATGCTTCAATTTATAGACATTATTTCTGTTTCACAGATGTGGGTCTGATTGACTGGGGTGTGAAATGTAACAGCCAATGGTGTACTTAAGCTAAGACTGTCAGTCCCAATATTCAAGAGGTGAGATAAGCAATGGATATGTGTTCTAAATTTACTAAATTGATCACTTTTTACAAATGTTTCTTTTACTCTATAGGAAAAACCCCTACATAAACAAATACATGGGCGCAGACATTTTGGACAGTCCAAAATGTCTGCGCCCATGTATTTGTTTATGTAGGGGTTTTTCCTATATCAAGTGAAATTACATATGAAATGAATTATTGAATAATAATACAGGTATCGTATTTCAACTGCTCTTTAATGAATAGTATACACCATGTACAAGTACTTACTTTACACTGAATAAGACTAAAGGAAGGCAAATTATAAACATGGCCAACGAAGACCAACGAGAGGAGTTAGAGGCTCTCAAGTCAATTTATGAGAATGAATTCACAGGTAGGTCAGCGGAGAAGAGGTATACTTTGCTACTTATGTTAAATTAGATGTTATTCTCATTCAATTTTCCCCACTTTTGCGTCCAACATATTGGGTACAATTCACCTACTGAGGAGGTCAGGTACGTTCTATGTGCTAGGAAGCCCCCCCCCCCCCCTCCGACAAAATAGGATTTTTTAATAAGTTTTTATTTATTTTCTTCTCTTTTTGGTTGCCAAAGATTTTCCAGGTAAATGGTTATTTTTTCTCTTGATTGCGCCTTTCAAAATCATTTAATACTTTGGGCCTGAAAGCTCAATAAACAGGTTGGGACCAATCACTCAAATGGGATATAATACAATAATTGATCACTACAAAAATAAAAAGGTCTATGCTGCTTTCATTGATCTTAGAAAGGCATTTGACACTGTATGGAGATTAGGTTTATTCTATAAACTTCTTGAATGTAATATTTCCCAAAAAATGTTCAATATTTTATTTTCAATGTATAGTAATACAATGAGTAGAATCAAATTTTCTGATGGATTAAGTGATGTATTCAATTCTGAGTGTGGTGTCAAACAAGGGGATGTCTTAAGCCCCACACTTTTTAATGTTTTTATTGATGGTATTGTCCATGACTTAAAAAATGGAAAATGTGATCCTGTGCAAGTAAACAATATTCATGTAAATTGTCTGTTATATGCTGATGATATTGTAATATTCTCAGAAAGCAAAAGCGGTTTACAAACCAGTCTCGATATTCTCAGTAACTATTGCTCAAATTGGAAACTTCAAGTTAATGTAGATAAATCTAAAGTTATGATATTTAACTCAAATGGCAAGCCTCAAGGTAATGAATTTAGTTTTAATGGTAATGCAATACAAATTGTACCAAGATACTGTTATTTAGGTATTATGATGAAATGTAATAGGAAGTTTAATCTAGCAACAGCTGTGCTTATTGAAAAGGCTAGAAAAGCATGTTTTAAAATGAAAAGAATTATTGGATTTGATAACCCATGTAAACTTTTAGAAAAACTCTTTGATGCTATTGTACTTCCAGTTCTTCTCTATTGTAGTGAAATATGGGGAGTGGATCTCTCATCCAAAGATATTTCAAATATTGAAAATTTTCACTTAAAATTTATTAAAGACATCCTTGGAGTGCACTACAAAACATCCAATGCTGGTTGTTTAGCAGAACTTAAAAGACTACCACTTTGGTCCAAAATTTCCCTCTCTAGTATCAAATATTGGAATCACCTGAAAACTTCTGATTCTTTGGCCTTTAAACTTTACCAATCCACAAGTAACTGTAATTCTTGGACTAAGAAATTATTTTCTATTCTAGATAATCTTGGATTCTCAAACATTACAAAATATACAGGTTCCATTCAACACCTTTTCTCAAACATTAAACAAAGAATCATTGATCAGTGCACTCAGGAGCAAACGTCAAAAATCTTTGGTTCAGAAAAACTTGATTTTTTTCAAGAAAGTATACTCGGGAAAAGGAAGTCCTTATGTTGATTTACTCAAAAAAAGATCTGAGAGATCCTCTCTTAGTAGAATTAGACTAAGCGCACATAAACTTGCAATAGAAAGTGGTAGATATATTTCCACATCAAGAAATGAAAGATATTGTAATGTTTGTAATACTAGTGTGATTGAGGATGAAATGCATTTTCTTTTTCAATTTAATTCTTACTCTAAGCTAAGAAACACATTCTTTAGTAATATTTATAACATAACAAAGAAAAATAATAATTTTAGCAATGAGAAATATATGTTACAATTATATGTAAACAGTAATATACAAAAAGTCTTCAAAGTTACTGTTAAATTTATCAGAGACTGTTTTGAACTTAGAAGTCAATTACTTGACAATTTTTGAAAAATATGTAATCATTATTTAATGATATTCAGTGGGCCTTTGCCAATTATTGTAATTGTGTTTGTGCCAATAAAGTATTTGTATTTGTATTTGTATTTGTATAATAGTCCGTGTGGGACATAATATCCCAAATGGGCTATAAATTTACAGTGCAAAAATTGAAAATTTAATTTTGGCTATAAATATCATAAATCTGCATCAGGACACTTAAAAAGGAATAACTTATGGTTGACAAGTTTTCCTGTATGTCCATTCTTTAGGAGATTGATCCCTCGGAAGTTCCTTAACTTTTTGGGGATCAATCTTATAAACTGTAGGGTTACAGAAAAACTTGCTTACCAAAAGTTATTCCTTTTTAAGTGTTTTGATGTGGATTTATGATATTTATAGCCAAAATAAAAATTTTCAATTTTTGCACTGTAAATTTATAGCCTATTTGGGACTATTATATCCCATTTGGGCGATTGGTCCCAACCTGTAAAACCAGAGATATAACATATATTTGTGTCTCTGATAAAACAAATCATTCCTCTTAGCAATAATAAAATACATTTCAGTTTACTGGAATTCAAATTTACTAGATGGTACTAGATTAACCTGAAAAAAGTTTTAATGGAAAAAAAGTGCACAAAAATGCAGTATGGTCAGAGTTAACCATATAAAATAAACCATGTTAACAACACATATGAAACCTATATATACACTATCATTGAACCAGGTGTGTAGAACAAAATCACTTTAACAATAATTGGTCTATTTTATGTATGCCCTGTTTAATTTTTAAATATTAAGTATATTTTTATTGTATTTTAGATATTTCCAATGACCCGCCATGTTTTATGGTTAAGTTGCCAGATCTTCAACTACCTAGTAGGTCTTAATCAAAAATTTTTTTTTTAATTTTAACAACAGTCAAATAGAATTCATGAAAACCCCCCAGAAATATTTGATTTTATTAATTTACATTATTTTACTTTAGTGAAGATATAATATTAAAGTGTACTCAGTGTACATAACTTTTGTATGAAAGGTGCAATAAGCCTGAAGTTCACTCTTCCAATACAATACCCAGATGTAGCACCTGTGATCGAGATTCCAATGAGAAACCAAGTCCTGTCTACTGAGAGTCATAAACAACTTCTGAGTTTCCTAAATGAAAAAGTTAGTATACAACGTGAGTATAGATATGATAAACATGAATACTCATTAAGAATGTTTTCGTGTTACCATTTTACCAAAAAAGTCTAAAATTTGAAATGCTATTAATATATGATACTTGCGATTAAGAAAAATGACCCCCATTTAGTTAAAGTGCATTAATTGAAAAAGTGAATGGGTTTTTTTTGGTAAACAGTGTGAAGAATTTATTGGCATGGGAATGATATTCTCTTTGGTGGATGCTGCACAGCAGTGGATAAATGAAAATTCATCATCAGCATCTCCAGATCAACTCACTGACCAACAAGTAAGGTTCCCCTTTTTGAATAAACTTGCACAGCTTTGCACACCCAATGAAAGATGCTAAAAGGGACTTTCATGAATAAAGAGATGGAGACCCCAAAAAAGAAAATCTAGAAGAACTATTGACCATTTGTACTGCCTTTCAGTACAGAGTAAATGTAATAATAATTTAGATGTTTTTATACTGATAGGATTTAGATAAACAAGAAGTCAATGACATAGAAATAAAACCAGTTAAACTTGAAGAACCAAAGCTGAGTGGAGGAAGATGGCAATATGTGATAGGACTTGTGGTATGTACTGATGGCATTATATCCCACCTCTGATGATTTTAGAAGTCTTTGTTTGCTCTGCTTCAAATTCATATTATTCAAATGGAACTTTCAAACTTGATTACTGTTCATATCTTCCTATTTCATGTATCAAACAGTATTGTATTACCGTACAGTGGGTCGTTATTTTGATGGTAGCCCCCCCCCCCCCTCTCAATTTTTAATCGCTAAAATATTCAGTACTCTTCTTAGCGTTCCTTTGTAAAGAGATGAAATCCTGTGTACTCTAAAATAGATTACACCAAAATTATTGGCATACCGTTGAGCAGCCAAAATTTTTTTACACCTGCCAAGAAAACTCACTTTATGGCAAATTTACTTAGCCCAAATACAATTTGAATTTCTTATCCATAATGTTCTGTTTGCAAAAACTTCCATTTGTGAAAAGATGCCAAAGTGCAAAAAGATGTAAATTTCCCCCAAAGTCTTGAGTGCAAATATCTTCTGATTCTTTCATTTAGTAATTGGTGTCATTATTATTTGCTCAGGGTAAGCCATCTGCTGGAAAGTCCACATTTTTCAATGCAGCCACAACACTTGATTTGGCCAAAACAGGCGCCCATCCATTCACCACCATAGAACCCAATATAGGAAAAGCTTTCTTCTCAATACCCTGTCCTTGTAGCAAGCAGACAAGCAAATGCAATGCAGGTAAGAAAATATATCTTTTTGTGTCAACATCAATGAAGTCCTGTGAATTTAAAAGAGTTCCTTAATATATATATTTTTTAATTTATTCTATAGAACAAAAAAACAAACCTAATTTAGGTGATGTGGATTGAAAATATGATACAGCAATTAAGAATTTTCATTGTTAATAGAGGATATAACTTCTATAGAGAAATAAAGCACTGGTTTTTTTCATAGTACATGGACATGATTTTAGAGGGAACAGATATTTACCAATCCTGTTGAAAGATGTTGCTGGTTTGGTACCAGGTGCTTGGGAGGGCAAAGGAAGGGGTAACAGGTGTGTTAAATTGTACACATAATTAGAATATACATCAGTTTACAGAAATCCAATGGTATTGACACTTTTTAAATGCCATGCAAAAAAGATTTCATGAGAATC